CATAGACAGAAAGTTGAATGGTGGTTGTCATGGGGCTGTGAAATAGATTTGACAGTTTCAGTTTGGGGTGATGAAAAGGTTCTGGAGATAAACAGCAGTGATGGCTACACAGCAATGTGAATGTACTTCATGTCACTGAATTGTGCAATTAAAATTGGTTAAAATAAAAAATTTTATGGAAAACCGGAGGGAAAACATATTTTAGAATCAGGACATGTTGACTTTGAAACGCCTGTGAAACAGTCAAACAGAGATGTCAAGGAGAACACAAATGTAAGAAGTCCAGAAGAAAATTCATGCCTTGAGATGTATATATGAGTCATTAGCATACAGATATTAAAGAACACTCAGAATAGATTCAATCAGCCAGAGGACATGGACAAATATGAGAGGATCAAAGAGACTAAGACTTGGAATTGGAGCTTAAAGAATACCAACATTCAGGAGGCAGGTAGAGGCAGAGAAACCTGTGAAGAAGAGAGGAAGAAGACAGAAAAGCTGAAGGTAAATCAGGAGGGTGCGTGTCCCTGAAACCAAGTAAAGCAAGTGTTTGGAGATGGTCAGTAGTGTTGAAGTCCTGTGAGAGGTCAAGAAAAATAAGGTTTAAACGTGTTGATTTTATGTAGCCATAAGATGCCTGCTGGTAAGCTGGATGAAGACAATTTCTGCAACACTGTGGGATGAACACTAGCCTGCAGGATTAACTGGAAGTGTAAACATGGAGGCAGCCTATGAACAGTCCTTGAAACATTTCATTGTAAATGGAAGGAGAAAAGGCAGGATTTGGCTGGGCGCAGTGGCTCATGCCTGTAATCCTAGCACTTTGAGCGGCTGAGGCAGGTGAATCACCCAAAATCAGGAATTTGAGACCAGCCTGGCCAACATGGCAAAACCCTGTCTCTACTAAAAATACAAAAATTAGCTGGGAGTGGTGGTGGGCACCTATAATCCCAACTACTCGGGAGGCTGAGGCAGGAGAATCACTTGAACCCGGGAGTCGGAGGTTGCAGTGAGCCAAGATCACGCCACTTCACCCCAGCCTGGGTAAAAGAGTGAAACTCCATCTCAAAAAAAAAAAAAGAAAATAATAAAGAAAGAAAGAAAGAAAGAAAAGAAAAGAAAAGGCAGGATTTGGAGGGAATGTGTGGGGTTGAGGCAGGTGCTTCAGCGCAAAGAACAGAAAAGTTGGAGGTCCAGGGAGAGGGCAGATGGAGCTCTGGTCTAAGCTTTCATCGTCAGAGCTGACCCAATGGAGAAGACCTGGTGTATCAGTCAGAGTCCTTTGGTTGAAACACACAGAAATGGCAGCTGATTTAAGCATAAAAGGGCAAGTATTGAAAAGCTATGGAGAAAGTTCACAGAATCAAAAAGAAGAATGGAGAACAAGTCGCAGCAAAGGACAAAATTTGGCCATGCTGGGGATACGAATAGCAGAAACAATTTACGATTATGCCAGGGACCACCACTGGAATTGATAGGCTCCATCTGTTTTTAGTGTTTTTATCACTTTGCTCATCATTGAAATTCCAACCAACTTCTCTTAGGCCATGTGCTTCTTGCTTGGGAGTTGAGGGGAGGTGCAGAGTTCCTTGATATCCTACCATGTTATATTGCACGGGGAATAGGTAATTCCTGGAAAAGGAAGTCAGAGTGCTATTTTTAAAGGATATGGAGTAGACGTTGGGCCCCCAGAAAGAAACACAACCAGCACAGGACTGCAAAAATCAGAAACTGGAACTTTGACCTTGAGAAAGTCAGAGCAAGGACACTAACCTTGTTTTCTGATACCCTTTCAGCACTTATTCATTCATGTTTTCATTCAGTTAGTGTACCACAACCCAAAGTGGAGGCAAGTTAACATCCTATGGGGCAACCTTCAGCCATTGAAAGACAGGAACCAGGGGACAGACACCCCTTTACCCCCAAGTGATCTGGAGATGCATTTCATCCGGCTTCTCAGATGGTTCTGTGGGACTGAAACACCCTTCACCAGTAGAGATGGCCAACTTGACAAAGCCTCCTTCCATTGGATTTCCCTCCTGCTTTGCTGTGCTCCCCCTATCTTACTCCAGCTTTCTGAGGTCATACTCCTCAGTCAAGTACTATCATATAAACCTCTGCCTTGACTTCTGCTTTCTAGAAACACAGGCTAAGGTAAGTGCAAGGCAAATCAGGAGCGAGAGGATAGGGTGGGGGAACAGGTGACAGCATGAAGTAGAAGGCCTGAGAAGAGCATCTGAGATGAGACTTGAGCCAACACTTGAGGGAGGTCAGACAGTGAGGCAAGTGAATTTCTTGGGAAAGACCATTCTAGGCAGAGGGAACAGGTAGAATAAGGTCCTAGGCAGGTACATGCCTATGTATTTGGGGAACAGCAAAGAAACCAGGGTAGCTACAGAAATGAGGGCAAAGAGTACTAGAAGATGTCAGTAACGTGGCTGAAGCCACATCACGTTTAGCCTTGCAGGACTTGGCTTTTACAGAACAAAAAAGGGAGCACAAGAATGGCAGGATCTGACTTAGGTTAAAAGGATTGCCCTGGCTGCAGTGCTGAGAAAAGATCTGTATGGGGAATGTAAAATATCCTCCCCTGTGAGATCCTGCTTGTAAGAACCAGAACTAGAACTAGAAAGTAAAAAAAAATTCAAACCCTTTCGAGGGAGGCTTGAAAGGAAAAAGTCTTCTTTAAAAGGCAGAACGATCCAAAGATGGCATGAGCTGCCTTAGGTGGTAATGATCTCCTGTCACTGGGGGTGCTCAAATACAGGCTGGAGAACTTGTCATTGGAAGGTGTGTGAAAATGCTTTATATGGGCTAATATAGGATGGCACAAAGACAGACTTCCGAATGCTTCATATCATGAGAGCCTCTAAGACCCAGAGACCCAGAGAGAATAATGACCCCCCTAAAGTCCCAGCAGAACCCAATTAAAATTGAACGAAGACCCACAGCTCCCAATGCAGGGCTCAGGGTCCTTCACCTGACCCCATGCTATCATCTTAAAACAAAACAAAAACAAAAACAAAACGCTGTTCCCACTTCAAGTACCTTAATTTAAACTGATTTGCTTTGGGATATATAAGTGTAAGACCTAGAAAGAATGAGTGGTAAAGTGAGAAGGAGACTCCGAATACTGTCACAAGCGTAATATGCTAGAGAGGTGAGGATCTGGCTGGAGATGACTCAGCTTATTGGTTCATTTATTCATTCAATACATTTTTATTGAACATTTGTTATGCATTCAATAGAGGTGAATGAAATCCATGGAGCCTATGCTTCCTGGAACTTACATCCTCGCAGGGATGAGTAATTATAACAAGTTTGATGAATGTCCCAGCAAGGGTGTTAGAGCTCAGTGACAAAGACTCTCAGAGCAGAACACAGCCATTGTAGCAGCAAACCTGCAGGAGCAAGGGGGTGTGAGGGAGGGTGAAATCCCCAGAGCACAGGTTGGGGAGTGAGTAGGGCAGCTAGAGAAAGGGAAGCCGAGCCCCAGTCCTAAAGAATCCAGGGCAAGTCATCAAGAAAGATCTCAGGGCTCAGTTTTCATAAAACTAGATGCAAAAGGAAGTCTATCCCTGAGTTAGAAGGCATTACACCAGGCAGTACAGGTCGATCACCTGGGCGTTTTATTCTAATTCAGATGCTCAGGTCCCACTCCCCCCAAATTTTGATCCCATTGGTCTGGGGTAGAGGCTAAGTACTTACATTTCTTTAAAATCTCCCCAGAATTTCTGAAGTACAGCTGGGGCTGAAAACTTCTGTAGCAAGCAGGGATGTCTGAGAAACCAGAGAGCACCCCCTGTATTCCCCTGCACTCACAGTATTCATTTCTTTGTCTAGTACACATATTCTGAACACCTACTACCTAGCAAGTAAATCAGGACTTGCTAGATAGCAAGTGTTCAGAATATGGACTAGATGAAGAAATAAGTACTCTGTGAATGAAGTAAAGGAAGCCATCGCTGCTTACTTGCATTCGAGCCAGGATAGGAGTAAAACTGACTTTATGGTGATTCCCTGAATGACTGCCCTCCATCCCTCCTGACTGTGGACAAGACTGGCCCAGAACTGGAGCTAGATAGAGCCTCATGTGGCAGTGGGTAAGGGGGCAGAAAGGAGAGAAGGGGAGACAGGGTGGCGGGATGGAGGGGACCAACAGCTCATTACAGATCAGGGACAGTGGGGGAATCTCAAACACACATTAATGACTACTAGGCCTTTTTGAAGATATCTTGTCTTTATTAAAGTGTCCCATCTTTATATAAGTGACCCCCCCTTCCTCCATCACTACAGATGATGGTGACTTTCTAGTAAAGAGGAGAGTAGTCAAGTTTTTAACAGAGGTAGGGTAAATGAGGCCCCTCAAAAGTGCAGGGAAGGAGGAGAGGGAGTCAAGACATTAACAGAGGTGGGGTAAATGAGGCCCCTGAAAAGTGCAGCTTGCTGCCTCTCCCCACCAATTCCATTCCAGACCCCCACTGTCAGAAAGTCTTCTCTCCTCCCATTTCAAGCCATATCACATCTCATTTTAGAGCCTTGTAAGGTTCTCTCACGTATCTGTGCACTTTCCCATGGACAAAGCATTTTACATCTTTAACATCCTCTCTCTTGCTGAAGATACCCCATCCCTGTGGCTTTAGGGGGACAGCTGATCTTTGGCAAGAGGCCTCAAGCTTGGCCAATGTGGGAAAGCCATTCAACTACAATTTTAGCAAAGAACCCAGGAGGCCAGGCCCCTGCTCCTGTATTTTGGCTGAGAATCCGCTAGACTTGGTCCCTGAACTCTGAAGACCCTCCATTCTAATGCTTCCCAGAGATCTTGTGCTTTGCTTCTAAAACTCTGTCTTCTAAATCTCCCCTAAATTCTCTGCCAGTTCATACGCAGTGGGTAAGAAGCCTAGCTCCATGAGACCCCACCCCAACCACCATCTTTCAGGCAGGCAGACCCCAGAATCTGCCCTGAGTGGAAAGAAGCTGGAATCTGAGAAACAAAAGCAAGAGACCCTGTATACTCAGCAGCGAAGGAACAGCCTGATCTCTCCCCTCCTGCACTTCAACGGAAACCTCTGCTGCGTGGTGAAGGCAGAATCATGGATGAGGCTCACAGGGTAGGCAAAGAACCTAATTTAAGGCTGCAGCTAGAGAAAGTGGGAGATCACGAGGTGCAGGGGTGAGGGACTAATAAGAGCAAGGTCGAGCTCATTACTGTGGAAAGCCCTTTTGAGATCACCCAGTCCTCTAATTTTCAAACTTTTTAAAAGTAGTTAAACCTTTTTTTTTGGTACAAAAATCTTAAATGGAACCCCATCTAAAGTAAAGCTGATATGATCGAAGCAAGAGGATGAGGCAGGCGTTGGAGGATGGGTGGTTAGACCAGGAGTTGGAGACACCCACTAGCTTAGCCTACTTTCCAAATCCAAAAGTCCCTGAGGCACCTACGCAGAACTTTGGGGTCCTGGGTTTCACTATGATAAACCAATGATCTTGCCCAAACCCTAAGTTTTATAGATGGAAAAACTGTATCATTTGTCCAAGATCCCCACTGAGTCAGTGGCATCACCAGCACTAGAAGTTGACACTGTTCCCAACCCAGGTCTCTCCTCTACCTTCCCATCAGCTGACTGGCACCCTCGACAGGCTCTGGGCCCACCCAGGGAATCTTAGACGGAGCTACGGAAGGAGAACTGCAGGTAGATGATCAGCAGCAGAACCGTGGCCCAAAACAAGCACCAGGGGATAGAGCAGAAGTTCCAGCCTGAGCCCGTCTCGTCCTGAGGCTTGGTGGGGCTGGGCGCCCGGGAGAAGGTGTAGGTGGTCGCCTCCTCCTCCAGCAGCTTCTCGCTGGGCTTCCAGTGCACGATGCCCTCCTGGCAGGCCTCGCAGAACTCCCCGCGGTGACGCCGGTTGTCCTGGCGGCTGGCCACGTGGATGCGGTACTGGCCGCCGCGCTCGCCGTAGCACTGCTCGCGCAGGCTGGTGATGAGGTTGTCCACCAGGCCCTCGATGTTCTCCTCCAGCATGCTGGACTCGTCCTGCCGCGCCGAGCCGCACTCGTAGCACAGCTGCTTGAAGACGCGCATGCGCACCGAGCCCGCCTGCTGGGCGCGGTCCAGGAACATGTGGAACAGGATGACCAAGTGGGGTGACTGCCAGGTGTGCCAGCACCAGGAGCAGTGGAACCTGCGAGACGGCAGGAGAGGGAGGAACAGAAGACGGGCGGAGGTGGTGGAAACAGCCCTAGGAATGGGGTGAGGGGACATGGGGGCTCCGCAGAGCCTGGAGGTGGAGGAAGTGTGTTGCCGGTGCCCTGGGTTCATTAGCTTTCCCCAGGAAGCCACTCAGCCTTGCGAGTGCCCCTAGGACTCGAACAGGTTCCTCGGGATGTCACCTGGCATCCAGCAGTGCTCTACCTCCTCAGTGCTTTCCAGAGGCCTAATTCCCTCCCCCCCAGCGCTGGGCGTCATTCTTATTCCTCATCTGCAAAATGCCCATGGTGCACTAGGCGAGTCCTTCCCGCTCACACCAGATAAGAAACACATAATCCATCTGCACATTTCTGTCTGTTAACACGTGACTGTGAACAGGCTAGATCCAAATCAGGAGAAAATGACGCCATTACTAGCTATCAGCGTCCAGGCCAGTGCCAGAGTTAATGCATCACAAGGCCTGAAGGTGGAGGCGGTCTGTGCCCAGAGCCCCAGGGCCTGTAGTCTCCCAGGCCTGACTGGGGCCAGCTGGGGATTACAGGTCCCCACCCAGGTCTGGGGCAGCCACAAGTCCTCCCCACTCAGCCCCCACAGACTCCCAGGTCTTCGAGAAGCTCCTGAGTCCCGCCTGTAAGTGTCCAGCCCTTGACACCCCTCCTGTCAGCGAGTCTAGGAGCTTCACATTTTCATTCTCTTCTTGTTCACTCACATCTTTTGAGGACTGTTTCCTCCTTTCAGACCAGACTAAAAAACCTGGATTGAAAAATGTAACTAGAGGGACCTGGAAATCACCTAATTAATCTTTTGTTTTATGCTGAGAAAAAGAGAGTGAGAGAGGCATCCATGTACACACAGCTACAGGCAGAGCCGGCGCCCAGCACATAACAGGTGCCCAGTAATGTTCCCTGAATTGAAGTGAATTGGCTGAATCCGGGCAGGCAGGAAGGCCTTGCTTCTGACTTCCAGGCTGCACCACTCAGCCTCCCCATCTTATGTCCCAAAGGTAAGCCCCTACACTCTGGGCCCGTGAACAAGAGTGCTAGAAAATCATCTCAGATAGTTTTTACATACTAATCACCTAGAACTCTTCTTGAAATCAGACTCTGATTCAGGTCTAAAAGGGGCCCGCGATTCTGCTTTCCTAACAAGTTCCAGGTGATGCTGACCCTGCTGCTCTGTGGACCACAGGCTGACCTCTCACTGTGCAAATGGAGAAAGTCAGGTCCAAGAAGAAAATCGAACTCCTCAAGGGCCCTGGAGCCAACAGTAGAGCCAGTTTCTGGCACATCTCATGTATTCAATATTTTAAAGGAAATTAAGTTGAATTAAATAGATTTAAACTGGTCCCAGGACCAGAGCACAGACCTCTTGACCCTCAGTGGGCCTCAAGCCCTTCTTCTCTGGTCTTAAATTACTTTTTAAGAGATTGTTAAAACAGAAAATATGTAAAATGTCAGTGCGTAGGACTCATAAGTATATTCTATGTCTTTATTTTCCAGATGGAAAAATTGTGACGCAGAGAGGAAGAGTAACACAGGTGATCAGTGGAAGAACTGAAATCCAGCTCAAGTGTCCTAGTTCCCAATTAGGGACTCTTTCTCTGACTTCCAGTCTACGCCAGCCTAATAGTGAGATTGAAGCTAAACACATGGGTTCTATGTAATCTTCCTCTCCTTGGAAGGTGCCCTAGAGCTAGGGACTTAGAGGCGGCCTGCAGGGATCCACCTTCCTGGGCTACTTACCTGCCTGAAGCATGCAACTCCACGTACTGCTTCCAACCAGGGCTCAGCACATTGTGCTTGAGGTTGGGGTCTATGATGAGGTCCCAGCTGTCAGCCGGCTTTGCCTCCTCCATCTTCTCATAGAAGACTTTCTTCCACTCGTCTGTGGTCACGCTTTTACACATGGTCTTGTCAGTAGTGAGGGAGGGCAATTTCCACCTTAGTGAGAACACGGAGAGTGAGGGTAGGTGCAGGGCAGGGCAGCGCAGTCTCCAAGGTCTAAAAATCCTCATCGACAAGACCAGGAGGAAGCAGGACCCAGCTCCCTCCTTTGTCCGCAGTGGAACCTGTTTCCACGGCAACCAGGCAGGGTGCCAGAAGACAGAGCTTGGGGAGGAGGGAGTCTCTGAAGAGGTGTTCCAAGGCCCTGAACTGAGATTGCAGAGGCAGAGTTTGTGGGTCTAAGTGATCCAAGACAGCGTAGAGGACCTGACCAGAGGTTGAGCTTCAGACCATCTCACCCCGGCCTGGAAAGAGTATGGGGAGGTGAGGACTTGGAAACTGGCTCAGTTTCACCTTGCCACACCCTGGAGGCATCATCAGCATCTGGCTGCTATGGTAACCATGATGCCTTAGGGAGCCAAGGAGAAATAAGGGATGGGGAGATGTAAATTTGTTAGTAGATGGAGCAATAATAATAAACTCTCCCTCGGCTCCCCCAGCCATCTTGTGACCAGCACTTTGCCATTTTCAAAACACAATTGGAGGTCTCTTAAGTTATGATTACTATTGCCGCAGTACAGATCAGGAGCCTGGGACTCACCTAGCCTATAAATGGCAGAGCCTGTATACAAATTCAAGCTGTTGACCCCAGACCAGTTCATTAATTCATTCATGTCAAACATATCCTGACATGTGGGTAGAGTTTGCAGACATGCGCCAGGCTCTATGTCAGTGCTTGTAGCTGACTGTGTACCCAATTATTGTGCAATAGGATCCATGCTGTAATGGCCTTGTGCAAGAGCAGCCACCTGTGCACAAAGGTAGGAGCATTGCATCAGCCAGGCTGGAGTAGACAAGATTATTTCCAAGCCGATTATAGAAGTGCAGAAGAGGAGCACCGCCCACAGGCAAAACAGCCTTTACTATACCTGCCTCTCCTGCTCTTTTTAATACATTAGTTTTCCTTTGAAAAAATCATATGGGTTTATTCTAGAAAAATTACAAACTATAGATGAAAGAAAAGGAAGACTCTTCCATAATACCCCACCCGAGATGACTACTGTTAACATTATGATATGTACATCCCACTTATCATTTTTCTGTACATGTACATGTGTATATGTGTGTGTATACACACACACATTCTGCACACTACATACATTCTACATACCACATTATGACATTTTCAAAAAATAATATATCATGAATATTTTTCTAGGTCATATTCCATAGTAGGATATTACAGGCTACCTATATTCTGTTATATGGATAGGCACAATTTATTTAGCCCGTCCTGTCTTTTAGGGCATTTCGGTTTTATTTCAGTTTCGCACATTACACTCTTGCCATCTATTTGTATAAAACTTGTTGGCGAAGCTCATTGCAAGGATTAGAGACAACACTTCCTACAATTAGAAAACACATCTCTTGACTCCAGTCTCTCCAAAAGCCTGGTGTGGCTAGCAGAATCTGCACAGGCTCTTCAAACAGTATGAATTTCAGGCAGACAGCAGATCTTGAAGTTTAGTGATGAAAAAGAAGGACCTAAAAATCACCCGTCTGATAGCAGAAACCATCTTCCAAGTGCTTCTCCTGCCGCTTCATGAATGTTTGATGCCTTGATTTATACTATTTTATCCTCAGTTTATTCATCTTCTCACTGGGATAATAACAAAACAGTATCTGCTGTGATTAAAAACAGGGGCTCTAGAATGGCTTGCCTGGTTGCTTTGTTGCTGTTGTTGTTGCTGCTGCTGTTGTTGTTGTTGTTTCTGAGACAGAGTCTCGCTTTATTGCCCAGGCTGGAGTGCAGTGGCACAATCTCGACTCGCTGCAACCTCCACCTCCCGGGTTCAAGTGATTCTTTGGCCTCAGCCTCCCAAGTAACTGGGATTACAGGCATGCGCCGCCACACCTAATTTTGTGTTTTCAGTAGAGATGGGATTTCACCATGTTGGTCAGGCTGGTCTCAAACTCCTGACCTCAGGTGATCTGCCCGCCTCGGCCTCACAAAGTGCTGGGATTACAGGTGTGAGTCACCACACCTGGCCGCTTTTTTTAAAAAAAGAAAATTTCCACGTAGCCTCGTAGGTAGCAATTCTAATATATGTAATCTGTATCTTTTCATCCTAGTAAAAATACATGTTAATGTTTTACACGAATATATTTTTAATTTGCATAGTAACAGCAATCACTATATAGCACTACTATGTAGCAATCACTATATAGCACTTACCTGGTAAGTGCTTAGAAGGCATTGTTCTGGTGCTTTATAAATATCAACTTATTTCATTCAATAACAACCTTGACAGGTAGGTATAGCAGCAGCAGCTCCATTTTGCAGATATGTAAACTAAAGTCTAGAGGTTAGATAACTTGTGCAAGATTTAACAGCTAATAACTAGTTGAATTGGGACTTGAACCTATATGACTGTCTACAAAGCCCCAGCTTTAGCCATTGTGATACTCAGCATGGAATCTAGAACATAACATCTGCTCATTAAATACGTGTTTCTTCATCATTCACGTGGCCATTACAAACCCCAAGAATTGCAAATGAAGTTTATATCATTTCAGCAAATGGGTCACTGGGCCCCCCCACACTGAGGCCACATCTCCCCAAAAGAGGAGTGAGTTGTACTTGACCCACCATGCTCCCTGCTACTGCTGGGGATGCTGCCTCTGCTGCCAAACTTAATGAAGCAATGGTGTCCAAAGACCCCTGATACTCGGTGTAAATATTTTAGAACTGAGAGAGATATTTAGCTTGAAATCTTACCAAAGAAAATATGGTACAGAAAGTCATCTCTAGTCACAGCAACCCTGTAAAGCCTCAATCATTTGATGCCAGGCATCTTGGCTCAATGGAGAGAGCACTTAACTGGGAGTCAGGAGACACATAGCCCAGCTTTGCTCCTGGCTGGCACTGTGACCTTGGGCAAGTCACTAATTTCCCTTGGCCTCAGTTTGTCCATCTGTTCAGTGAAGAATTAGGGTGGATGACAAAGGTAAGGTCCCCTCTGACTTTAGTCATATATGGTTTCAAACAGCTTTATACTTGGAAAACTGAATCCTGGGAGGGCAGGAGGTAGGATGGAAGCCACAGGCTGGAAGAGGGAAGCTTCTAAGAGGTATGGTAGGTAATGCCTGGAGCCAGGCTCTGTCTCCTGGGACCTGCTACATAGTTGACGATCTCTGGGGAGGTGCCACTTTACTAAATTTGTACTGAACACAGCAAGAAGGACAGAAATTAAACATATCAAGCTACTGAACATTAACATTGGAAAAACCATTTTTTATGTAGAGACGGGGTCTAGCTATGTTGCCCAGGCTGGCCTCAAACTCCTGGGCTCAAGCAAACCTCCTGCCTTGGCCTCCCAAAGTGCTAGGATCACAGGTATGAGCCACCTCACCTGGCTGGCATTGGGAAAAACTTTTAAGTTCTTCAGGACCCTTCATTAAACTCTTAGTCCTTCAAGTCAGTGTTCTTACCTCTGAATTAAGGCAACCAACACCTAAATAAGTAAACTAGTTTAACTAACCTCACAGATATGATGGGAACTGCCTCAGGTGGGAGCTACTGGCCAAAATGAGAATGGGGGCTGTGGACCTTCCCAGAAAATACATGAAGCTGAGAGGAGCTTATAACAAAGAGTGCTACCCAGAACAAATCCTCTAGAAGTATTTTGCAGGTGTTGCTACAATAAACACTATGATGACAGAAGACAGAAAGTAAGAATCACCAGAGGGTGTGTGTGTGTGTGTGTGTGTGTGTGTGTGTGTGTGTAACCAGCTGATGCAATCCCCATTGGCACAAATTAAGTTTTATTTAGAACCTGAGCTTGCTGTGCAGAGGCCAGTATAATACATCCTTCTGGATAGCAGAGTATTTTCTCTAATAAAAATTTCTATCAAGACAGAAAATAACACTGTGGTATTGCAACTTGCTCTCTATCAAATGACCTCTAACACCATGGAATCCACAATATAAAGAATGCCAATTCAGATATCTCTAAAGCTGTTGGCCTCACCCTGGCCAATTTCTTAAAGTTTGTGATCATGCTTTAAGCGCATAAAACAGTTCAAACTAAATTCCCAACTAGAAAATAGAGTGATGAAAAGGAAAAACAAGTCTCTAATTTTTTTTCTTGAAATGATGCCCTCATGAAAAATCATTCTCAACTGTGGGCAATTTTCTATCCCTAAATGGCATTTGAGAAGAAGGAGGGATGTGTTTTAGGGCTGGACCCATGACTAGAAGTTTCTATTGGTACCCTGTACCAAAGACCTAAATGTGCCTCACAGTCCCCAAACAAAGACTCTTTCCTCCTAGAATGCCCCAACATTGCTGAGCCAGAGCAGTAAGCCCCTCCATAATCTGTTGACTTAATGATATTAAGAGCGCATGTAGTGGTCTCAACTTTAAAGGAACTTTTAATTTTCTTCTCTAATGGAAATTTTGTTTTCCTTGAGAACTAAGATTTCTAAAATAGCAGAGCTCAAAATTGCGGGTACAGAAAGAAAAGAAAAGAAAAAAAACTAGTTTACCATCAGGGGTAATTTTGAGAGAACCATTCCATTCCACCCTTTAATTCTTGGAACTAAGCACTATATCATCGTGGTTGCTAATTCTGAGCATATACCAAATCCTGGAGAACATTATCCTAGCCCTGCAAGGTCCTGTCCCCCAGCTGATTCTATAACTGAGTATTCCAAAGACCACCACATTGTTCAATCAGGCCAACTGCTTCGGGATTATGGGTGATACACTTAAGACTAATGAATTTCATGAGTGTGAGCTCATTGCCAGATTTCCTTTACATTGAAATGAGTTGCCAGTCAGAAGCAATGCTATATGGAATATCACAATGGTACATAAGGAATTCTCTAAATCCACTGCTGAGTGCCTGATATGGTTTGGATTTGCATCCTCACCCAAATCTCATGTCGAATTGTAATCCCCAATGTTGGAAGGAGGTCCTGGTGGGAGGTGATTGGATTATAGTGGTGGATTTCCTCCTTGCTGTTCTGGTGATAGTGATAAGAGTTCTCATGAGATCTGATTGTTTAAATGAGTGTAGCACCTCCCCCTTCACTCTCTCTTCCTCCTGCTCTGGAC